CTCAGCTTGAGAAATGCTGACCGTGTTCTTCCTTTTCGGTTTTCTAATTCTAAATCTTTGCATATTTTATTATAGTATTTGGTTTTATCTTCTTGAGCTGATCTTTGAAATTTTCTGTTCAGCTCTTGGACCTCTTCAATTCTTCCTGGGTTTATAATCTGTTAAATTGGTCAAAGTATAAATATAATGACTACTTTTTCTTCTTGGATTTCCAGTATATATATGTATTTTTATATAGAATTTAGTATTGTTATAAGTATCTTGATTCTATTTTTAACCCAAAAGACATTATAATTACTATTTTGTACAGTGTCTATTCATGTCTTGACATCTCCATTGTTTGTTATTCATTCCTTCTTGTATCTCAGAACTGTTAATCAAGAATTTCCATCTGTGAAATATATTTGCCTGATAGCAAACACTCAGTCTTTATTACATTGAAATGCTTTTATTTCATCCTCATTCTTGATAGATAATTTTTCTGGGTATAGAATTTGGATGAACAATATTTTCTTTCAGATCTTTAAGGATTGTTTTCTATTATTAGTTTAATGACTAGTTCCCTCAAGATAATCTGTTATTTTATCCCCAACTGCTTTTAAGCTCTTCTCTTTTGGGGTTTCACTAGTTTTACTATCCCTATATTTGAATGTGAATTTATTTTTATCTTTCTTGGTATTGTTTGACATTTATGACTCTGTAGATTAGTGATTTTCATCAGTTCTAGGAAATTATCAGCATTATCTCTCATACATTTCCTATGCTAATTCTCCCATTCCCCTTTTTCCTTCTGAAATGTCTGTTAAGCTCTGTTGAACCTTCTCACTCTTATTCCTGTGCCTATTAATTTTTTTTTCTTATTACCTATATCTGTGTCTCTGAAGTGTACTCTGGATAAATCCTTCTTCTTCGAACCTCTCTAGTTCTCTACTTCCAACTACTTGTCAAGTGCTGTGGAGTCTTTTCCAACTTATACTGACTTTGTATAGGGTTTTTAAGGCCATAAATATTTGTGGGAGAAGAAAGTCTCAACTTTCACCCACAGAGTGACTGGTGGACTTGAACCACTGACCTTTTGGGTCACAGTCCAGTGCACATCTTACAAAGCCACGAGCTATTCAATTGTAACTATAATAGGCTTTAAATTTATCATTAAACCCATCTGTCATGGATTGAATTGTGTCCCCCCCAAAACATATGTCAACTTAACAAGGCCATTATTCCCAGTATTGTGTGGTTGTCCTTTATTTTGTGATCTAATATAATTATCTTCCATTTTGTAATGTGTTAAAAACCTTGACCTCTATGTATTAACAAGGTAGAATTAGGCTATGATAATGACTCCTGGTATGACACTGTACCGTATACACTGGACTGTGAACCACAAGACCAGCAGATAAAATCCACCCATTATTCCTCAAAAACCCTCTTACAGGGTTGTTAGAGTCAGAACCAACTCAATGGTACTTAATTTTAAAAAAGAGGAGTAGGTTGTTTGTTATCCTAATGATACAGGGTTAGGGTGGGATGCAACACTCTTACTAAGGCCATGGCCTTGATCCAGTGTAAGGAGAATTTCCCTGGAGTGTGGCCTGCATCACTTTTTATCTTACAAGAAATAAATAGAGAGAGATGCAAGTGGAGCTAGGGACCTGACTAACCACCAAAGAAGAGCCAGGAACAGCGTGCAGCCTTTGAGCCCAGGTTCCTGTGCTAAGAATCTCTTAGACCCAGGGGAAGATTGATGCCAAGGTACATGGACATCTCCAAGGAACACCAGGCCCAAGACACTAAAAGATGGCAAGGGCTTTCTTTCCAAGCTGACACAGAGAGAAAAAGCCTGGTCCTAGATCTGGTGCTCTGGATTTGAACTTCTAGCCTCCTAAACTGTGACTGAATACTTTTGTTTGTTAAAGTCATTCACTTGTGGTATTTCTGTTATAGCAGCACTAGATAACTAAGACATCAACAATAATATTTTAAATTTCAATTACTGTATTTCTTCATTTTGAGAATATCACTTTATTTCTTTTCCAAATTTGCTAGGTTAATTTAGATATTTCTCTTCTCTATTTGTGATTATAATTTCTCATACATAAGGTTTCCTTCTCTCTTCTCTCTTTCCTGAATACCAGCTTTGCTTTCTTTGTAGTCTCCTGGATGGGTTGAGAATACGGCATTTATTTCTCATTCACTCTTACTGTGCGACTGATCAGACTTTATGGGAACTTCTTAGGCAGTGTGGGAGCAAAGGCATGAAAAGTACTTAAAAGCATTCCTCATACTCCTCTTTGGGATGCTAGGAATGTCATCCTTTCCCACTGATTTCAGTTCCATCCACACACAAATTTTCAGTAGCATGTAGTTTTTTTTTTAATTTTTTTTTTTTTTGCATGTAGTTTTTGCAATCAGGTTTCTCCTCATCATTTTTAGCGTGCTAGTTTCTCAGATCTGGGCTTCCTCTGATCAGTTATGTCTTCTCCAGGGCTGATTTCAATGAGGGAGTCAGCAGTTTGTATTGTTGAGCTTTTGTGTCTTTGTACAGAAGGTGTCTAGACTGTTACATACTATTTAGAGGTGATTTGAGAAGTGTTACTGACTTATCAACAGGGACAGCAATGTCTTTTTGATATATTTTAATTTTTATGTTCGGTATTTTCTTTTTCATCTAGTACTCTCGCTGATGCTGCCATGGGGAAGAAAGTCTTGCACATCCCCTACAGAGATTCTGTTTTGACCAAACTGCTCCAGTCAGCTCTGGGTGGCAATAGCAGAACTACATTGGTAAAATGATTTTCTTAAAACGTTTTAGACTGATTTGGCTGTTATTATTACTATCATTCTTGATAAACAACTAAAGTTGGCATTACGTACCATTTGCATTACACGTTCTTATATATTATCCCAGGATTCCTGGTACTCTCCCCACTATACTGTTCAAATGAAGTTTCTATGTGAATTTTTAAAGTTTTGATTATTTTCTGTAGTTTTAAGATTCTCTACAAAGAACATATTTATTTTATTATGAGAAAAAAACTAATAAAAATTTGAAAATATGACTAACAATGTTCTGCTAGTCTAAATTAGCAAGACTGGAAATCACTTTGTATCAGGCAAGAGACACCTGTTCAAGCTGAGGAGTGGTTGAATCTTGCCATCTAGGCAAATTCTCTGTATGCCATATTGGTTGTTTGCCAAAGGAGCACAATGTGGAATGTGCTCAAATCAGGGCTCTCTGCTTTTCAGCTTCAGCTGCAGGAAGGGACAAACTCGACAGACTCTAACTCTGGACTTGAGCTGTCTTTCAGTCTGCTGTCCTGGTTGGGATACTTATCATGGGGAACTGCACAATTCCCAGTAAAATACTTCCTTAAATAATAATATCATAATAAATACTATCCTGTAAACTTGCCTAACTAAATTTTAAATATATATTTTGGGTATTAAACCCTTATCGGATATATATATATATATATATATATATATCAGATATGGTTCATGTGTAAGATTTAATGTTGTTCAACCATTAACATTATTCACTTCCAAATTTTCCCGTTGCTCATAGCTTGCCTAACAATTTATAAATTATTCTTTTTAAAGTTCTTGTGGTTGTCAGTGTATCTCCCAAAACCTGGAGTAAAAAAGGATACATAAGGTACTCTCTGAGTGTTAGGCTATAAAATGAAATCTAGCAGATGTGTGAAGTCCCTTGAAAGACACAGGGTGACTCAACACCTGCAAGACTTGACAAAAACCTAACTGAAGGCATTGCAATGTTTTAAAAAAATGGAGGTGGGAAGAAGCAAATGAAAGAGAGTAACAGCAAGGCCAACACCCAAACTCTAGAGTTTTTATGGCATCAATCCCAGTTTCAGTACAAATACCTCAAAACCTCATTTTTTTAAAAAGTGGCATTACTAAAAACATTCATCTGAAAATACTGCTGTGATAATCAGAAGTAATATAAATGAATGAGCTTTCAGAACTGTACAGTTAAACATATGTAAAACATTAATCACCAGGTTCTGGTGCTCTGGACCATAGGTCTATGTCCCAGTATGTGGGCAGTTGCCACATTACCTCCCAGTCAGGATCAGTGACCCTGTTTTCTTTTAATTCATCCAAAAGTCTGTTCACAGATTTCAATTCTAGAATAACTAATCTAATAATCAGTCTTAAAATCATACAAATGAAGTGGTTACCTGTTGTGTTTACTGTCCTGCGAAAACACCTAGTGGAAGAATTCACTACTCAAAACATATAGTTAAGAGGATTAGGGGAGAGGAGCTCTCCTAAGTTAGAAAAAGTCTTCCCAACTTGTTCCTTCTCCTCATATTCATTAGGCTTTATCAAAGCAGAAAGTTGAAAAGCATTTTTGCAACCTTCAAGAAAAACATAGGGAGCAACATAAATTCCTAGATAAGGCTGGGCACAGAGAAATGTCTGGGTGTGTTCTGACCTCAAACACTTATAACTAGGTGTTCCTAGTTACACAAACATCCTTGACAAACACCTGAGTCTTCTCGGTCAGCATGCTCTCTTTCTCACACACACTATCAGGGCAGAGCATTCCATAAAGCTACATTCTTTTAACCATGTTATGCCAGTCTTAGTGAAAGCCATCCCCACAGTTGCCCAATAATGAAGAACTTTTGTTGTTGTTGCTGCTGTTAAGAATATACAAATTCAACAGTTTCTACACATACTATTTATAACACTGATTACATTCTTTGAATTGTACAGACATTCTCAAATGAACAACTTTTATTGATCTCTGCAAGGCTAGCATTCAACTGTCATTCAAACCCCTGAGTAAACCTTCTGTGGACCCCATACTGAGGAGCAGTGTTGTATCATGTTGAGCAGCACAGGCCTTACTCAGGAATGGGCTCAAGCCCTTGCTCTGCCAGTTATGACCCATGAGACTTCAAGCATATTATTTTCCCCTAAGTTTCAGTTTTCTGTCTAAATTATAAAATACAAAACTTTTCTATAAATGTGAGCCATTTAATAATAACAACAATAAACTCATATATAAAAAACAAAATCTGACAAGGATATCTTTATAGATAGCAGCCATAAGTCCAGCTGACATCTGCTATGAAGAAACTTTATCAACACTGAGATATGCTGAAAGGTATGTTTATGATCATTTCTTTTCTATTCTACAGTGGTTCTAAGTTCTAAAGCTGGTGAACTCTTACATTTGGTGGATGGGCATTTGGGTCCAATGGAAGATAGACTAATATGATATATGAGAAAGGAGCAAGTAAAACAAAGGAGAAGAACTGACAGAAGCTGGACTTCCCAAGTCTGTCACCCTGTCACTGAAGTCCTGGTGGGAGGGCAGGGTGGGCTCCAATCCCTGGCAGAGGCACAGATGCCAATCCAGACTATCTGTTTCCTTTATTTGCCGGCCGAATAGCCTGACCATCCTCAGAATTCTTCTTTAGTCCATGGGGCATGGGTAGTGAACAAATGAAGATGAACTCCTTAGTAATCAATGTAAGAGGCAACTCCTTAAACTCTAGACCATTTGCCTACCCTTCTTCTCCTGCATGCTGTGATACCAACCAAACCAAACCCATGGCTGACCATTCATTGTGATGCATGAGTGCAGAGTAGAAGTGTACCCCCATAGGGTTTTCAAGGCTGTGACCTCTTGGAAGAAGATCACAAGTCTTTTTTCTGAGTCACCTCTGGGTCTATGTGAATGCCAACCTTTCACTTATTAATACAGCACTTAACTCTGTACCACCGAAGAACTATGCCCTTTTGGTGGTTCTTTCATTGCTCATACTCTTCAGAGGAGGTCTGGAGGACACAGGTATCTTTTTGCCAAGAAGTGGTTCTCACTGCCAAGTCCCTTACATCTAACAGTGATCTGGGCAGGAGGCTCTCACTGGGCCATGTTCATGCTTTTCAAAGCAGGCATCTGAACCTTTTCCAAATGATAAAGGGTGTAGGCAGAGGGGAGTTCCTAGACATGGATTGAAACTCTACCACAGGGGCCACTACTCTTCCTTCCCATACCCAGGGCAGACAAAGAGAATCAGCCACTGCATCGGATTCAACTGCTATCAAGTATCCCGCTAGAACAGAGTAGAACTGCCACACAGGAGTTCCAAGGTGTGAAACTTAAAAACAACAACAATCTTTATAGAAGCAAACTACCACATCACAAAATGACTGGTAGAGTGAAACAACTGACCCTTTAGTTAGCAGCCACACTTAAGCGTTGAACCATACCAGGGCTCCTTTTCAGGTTTGATTGTTGTTGTCGTTAAGTGCCATTGAGTTGGTTCCGACTCACAGCGACCCAGTATAGGGTTTCCAAGGAGCTCCTAGTGAGTTTGAACCAGCAACCTTGCAGCTCAAACTGACCTTGCAGTCCAACACATTATCTTACAGCACCACACCAGGACTAAGAACTGGGAATTCTCCGTTAGCGTTTCAGATAACTACTCCCACCACTTGGAACACATGTGAAATGAAACTTATTTGCCAACCCTGATAACATTTTAGGTCTGTGAACTTAAGTATTGGACTGTACCCTGGCCCTAACAGTTATGTGGCCTGGGTAAAATATTGAACCTTTCTGACCCTAAGTTACCTTGAATTTTGAAGGTTTGTTGTTGGTTGTTGATGAGTGTCTTCAAGTCAGTTATGTTCCATAGTGACCCTGTATCTGAGGTATCTGAGAAAGCCTCATCTTTCTCCTGCAGAATGGCTGGTGGTCAGACCTTGTTGTTCACAGCCCAGTGTTTGTCATACAGAGTCACACAAGGAATGACACTTAATTCACAAAGTTGGGGTGAAGACATATGAGCTAACGTGTGAACTGTGCCTAGTGTAGAGCTGATGCTCAAAATGACATTCAGTAGGGTTCAAAGTCAGAATAGAAGAGAATGTGGTACAGAGCTGAACATCCACTAACTCCATCTCCCCTTGTTCCACCTTAAGACCCTAAGATTTGAAACAGCCATCTAAATCCTTTTATCGTCTACATAGTGCATAACCCTCCTTCTCCTGGATCATTACATAAAGTCAAAGCATCAGAACACTAAAGAGTTGGAAGTTCTATTAGAATGCTTCCCAACTTTCCAGTGTTCCCCAACCTTCCCCATTCAAGTATCCTAAATAGCAGGAAAAAGAACAGGAGCCAATTTTTTGACATTGCTTATTTTATCTTTTTTTTTTTGCTTCAATTTTTGCATTCTGAGTCAAAATGTCAATATCTGTTTTAATATTAAAAATTAAATTTTTCCTTAAAAAAAGAGTTATTATTATATCACCAAGTAATTGCCTCTCCTTTTGGTCTTTCTTTGAGTGAGAGCACCCCTTGTATTTTTTTTTTTTTTCTTAAATGTTTTATTGTGAATTATGTGATAGTTTACATGGGAGAACATTAGTTTTACATTCATTCTATCGTATATCATCTCATTGCCATGGTTACAATCCCCTCCATGCAATCCTTCCCCGTACCCCCCAGGTCTTCAGCACACAGTCGCTCTCCCTCTCTGGATCTAAAGTCTCCAGTTGCTCCATCGCTCCATGTCATCATCTCTGGCTTCATTTCAGGCATCACTGCTTCTCTGGGTAGGGTCCCGCTCTCTGCTCTTCTCCCTTGATGGTCCTAGGGACCTCCGCTACTAGACTGAAAAGTTAATCACTCCCCTCCTTGCTATAAAACATCTGCCTTTACATTTCCGACCCTCACAATCAGTCCTGATAACAATTATTCACTATTGTATCACAAGAGACCCATCTGCATTTCTTGCATCAGCCCCGCCTAGTCAGATTGAATACTACTCACTGGAGATTCTACCTTCCTCCAGGCCCCTTGGATCTAAGTTCCCTCTTGAAAGCTTGTAAGACAGTCACTTCTTGCCTTTGTAGCCATCCCCCCACCATTTTGGGTAGCCAATGTCCAAGTTGCCCATCCCTGTCTACTCTGTGTGTGGAGGGGGTGGGAATGATTTTTGCTGTAAGGACTTGTTCCCTCTTTTGAGCTACTGCTTCCATAGGTGTAGGTCAAGTTCATCAAATTGTATGAGAATACTTTTTTTTTTCCCCTCTTCTGTTTACTTCTGGTTGAGCTCTGATCATCCAGTCACTGAAGCCAGGATAAGTGGGTATTATCTGCAAGTGTGGGTGTTCTTATGCATATGCCCTCTCTTCTTATCAGCTGGACGCTTCACTCTCCACTCTAGTCCTCTGTGACTATGTCACTGACTCTGGGCCCAAGAGTCCCCAGGTCTTGCCATACTGCTGGCCAACCAGGTCTTCACCTGGGTTCACAGAAGTCTATTGAACATTGTAGGGCTTAGCTCACCACTTCATTGATGTTTTTCCCTCACTTCCCCTTATCAGTGACGAGCATGGTCACCAGTCAGAGCGTGTATTCCCATTGAGTCTTAGTCTTGGAAGGGGGTTTGCACTGAGGGGACCTGACCACTTGCCTTGATGTTTCCTGGGCAAGCAAGTTGCTTGTTCTTGTAGTAACAGTTGGTCTGTCTATGTTGTTTTATATTTTTCCTGTAGGTCTTTCTTTCAAGAAGTATATTCTGTTCTTCTAGCCACTCCAGGTTGGTCTGCTTGCACCCCTTGTATTGTAACCACAAATACTTTAGTTTTCATTCTTCCACTTCACTGTCTCAACATCATTTTATACAATAGATATATTCTTCCAATATCTAGTATAAGCTCAGGTCTTTAGATCAAATTTTGTCCTTGACAGTGTCTAGAGTATTCATTTTTTCCTTGCTTATCTAGATGCAAATCTGTGGTGAACAATTTTCACATAGTGTCTGAAAGAGAAAATAATATCTAGAAGTCTTGGGTTCTAATCCCAGATCTGCCACTGACTGTGATTTGGGGGAAGCCATGTAAATGCTTTGCTCCTTAATCTGTCCTGAAAGGAATGAACTTGCCAGATTTAAGGAACCCGGAGCTCTGGTAGCATAGTGGTTACAAATTGGGCTGCGAACTGCAAGGTCAGCAGTTCGAAACTACCAGTTGTTCTGTGGGAGAAAGATGAGGCTTTCTGCTCCCATAAAGATTTACAACATCGGAAACCCTGTACAGGGTCACTATGAGTCAGAACCGACTCCATGACACATAACCACCGACAACCAGTAGCATAGTGGGTTACATGTTGGGCTGCTAACCCAAGATCAGCCATTTGAATCCACCAGTGACTCCATGTAGAAAGATGAGGTTTTCTGCTCCTGTAAAGAATTACAACCTCTGAAACCCTATACAGGTCACTATGAGTCAGAACTGACTTAACAGTGTACAGCAGCAGCAGCAGGCTTGCCATATTTGGCCTATAAAAATCCAGAATTCCAAGTTAAATTTGACTTTTAGATAAAAAGTGGTTAATTGGGGAGAGGAGATCCCTTTTTCACTGACAGCACTAAATGTGTGCTCATCTTTGCTTAAAAAGAGCAAAGAAGATCCGGAACAAAGCAGTGGTGAACACCTGGAAGCTGATGAGAGAGTCCAGGACCGAGAACAACAAGCTTCTCCTTGGATGCAAGAGCTCCAGAATGGCAGGTAAATTCAGTTGGGAGTCAAGCTGAGGCTGAGCCAGGAATGAGAAGAAAGGATCTGACTTGGTTGATGCTTGGAGCTGGAGGCTGGAGGACCTCAAACTGCTCAACAAGGGGCGTGGGGGAGGAAAATCTTAGTGAGTGTTATGCCCAGTGTTCAAGGTCCCCAAAAACCACCCGAGGAATCGAAGCAGAAGCCGATGCAAGTGCACAAGGGTTGTTTTATTCAAGCTCGAGCCAGGTCTCTAACCTTAACCGACGCAGCAGAATAGGGATAGAGCCCCGAGCTCTCTGGTAGCGGGGTTTTTATAGATTTTTACAAACAGATTCGGGGGTCTTCTACCTAACTTCTCTAGGATTGGTTTACACTTAGTAAGGTACGAGATTACACAATTCGATTGGCCATTACCTATAGCTAGGATAGCTTCATTAGGGTAAGGAAGGCATTTGTTATGTTAGGACAGTTTAATTAGAGTAAGGAAGACATACATTATCTAGCCTTGGGTTTGTCAGGAGAGTTTATCTCTACTTTTATGGCTCATAGGGGAAGGGGATCATCTCCATCTGGTACTAACTGACCAGGCACATTCCTGAAACAGGGAGACGTGCTTTAGCCTAAGTAGAAAATGGAGTTTTCTTCTTAGGGTCCCACATGAGAATCTGTGGGGAACCCTATGGCAGGCCAGGGGAGCCTCTGAGGTCTACATTGAAAACATTTTGACCCTGTCCTTTAACACAGAGATAAATTGCCTACATGAGTCAAAAATAAAGTATTGAGCTTCATGCCCCCTTTTAATGGACCCAGTGCTCTAATTTCTCATGAATTGTTGCCTTTAAGTTAACACCAACTCATAAAGACCTTATGTACAACAGAACAAAGTTCTACATCCAGCAACATTGGAGTCGATCACTGAACTGTTGTGCAATCCATCATGCTGAGGATCTCTCTCACCCTCATTGGCTTCACCAAACATGTCATCCTCTTCCAGTCCAAACCAAGGGAACTGGGCAAGGCTTCCACTGACTAACTTTCAGAAGAAGATTGTGAGGCTTTACTTTTAGTCTGGAAGCTCTGCTGAAATCTATCCACCATGGATAACCCTACTGGTATTTGAAATCCCTGTGTCAGCTTCCTGCATCATGGCAACACACAAGCCATCACAGTACAACAAACGGACACACTGGTAGTCTGTTTTATGAATTAGAAGATGATACTATTCCTTGTGGAACTTTTAAAATAATGTGTTAATCACACATATATTCAGTTCATTTCCCCACTTCCACTGATAGCTCCATGTTTGGACTAAAATTGAGTGAAGACACATTACTTAGTTTATGCTTTGCCTTTAACACTCTCTCCAGAACAGCCACCGTATTACCTGGAAGAAAACCAGTGTGGGATTCACATCAGCCAGATGAGCTGGGCACACCGACTGGAGCAGGCTCGAGAAGAGTGGGGGCAGCAGTTTATAACCATTGTGCAGGTGAGCCTCATTCCTTCCTCATGGAAGCTGGCCACAAAACACGGCTACCCTCCTACATACCCACACACCCACACACAAGATCCTCCTGTTCCTTGATCTTTATCACATGATCTTTGTCACATCAGTGTGGGAAATAACCCTCTGCCTCACAATGTTCCTTTTCTTGGTTTGCTTTAGTCATCTGCTTGGTAAGAGGCACCAATAGAAAGACAGCAAAATCAAAGAATCATAATACTAAAGAGCTAGAGGTTATTCTAGAATGCCTCTGTCCAGTGCTTCTCAGCCTTCCCCACTCAAGTAACCTAAGTAACAGGAAAAGGAACATGAACCAGTTCTTTGAGCTGTTGTCAAGTGGATCATTTGGTGGGCATTTTCAATGAGTATGTAATATGTGGCATATCACATGGAGTCTCAGAGTGATGCAAACGGTTAACATAGTCACTATTACATAGTCACTGTTACTTACTAACTGAAAGGTGGAGGGTTGTAGTCCACCCAGAGGTGCCTGGGAAGAAAGATCTAGTTGATCTGCTTCTGAAAAACAAGCCATTTAAAACCCTATGATGCACAATCAACTCAACAACAACTGGTTCCAGTTTTGCTAGTACTGGCAGGTACCATGTGATTTATATTTCTGATGCAATTAGTGGGGAAAACAGCAGGGCACAGTACAGGACAGAGGTCTTGGCACACATTGATGAGGGAGGCTGAGGATCAAACTCAAGGCCTTTGGTAATTAAGAATTTGGGGAGAATTTGAAGAATATGAGTTGTCTTCTGGGAATCATATGGTGTATCTATCCTGGAATTTACTGCCAATATCAGATTAAAAATGGGCTGTGATGTAAATTTTGCCATATCAGTGTAGGAGATAACTCTCTGCCTTTCTCTCCACCACCACATTTCATGAGGTACTGAACAAATCGCCCAGTGGTGGTCCAGACCTTAAACCCCTGAGAATTATGAAGAAGGTCAGTCTGTATTCTGCATTTGTGAAGCCTAGAATAGATGTGAACCTCTAACAGTTAGCATGGGTAGGGTAGAAATCTTGGGTTCAAGAGACCAAATTAGGGTCCCAGGATTCTAATGATCTAATAAGTGTGGCCCAGGGTATATCCTCCAGTTAGAGCATGTTAAAGTCACATTCCATGTAAGGGGCAGCTGCACGTCAACTTCTAGCTGCAAAGGGTAAGTACACTTCTGAGTGCAAGAACACAGAATTCTGGGTTCTGCATGGACTGAGTCCATTAATGATTGGAAGGATTTTTATCCTCTCTATCAGAAATCATTTCAAGATTTACAAGTGTTCCACTTGCCTGCACAGTATATTCTGGTTTTATTTGACTCTCAATTCTCTCTCACTACAATACCAATAGTTACTTATGTTAAAGAACAAAATGAATTTAAGTAGCTAGGGGAGGGTTATGCAACATGTCATTTCTTGCTGTCAGTCTTTGGGTATCAAACTCGGCAGCCAGCAGGACTTTGGGAGAATGAGATGTAGGTTGACATGTTTAATAGAGAACAAGAAAAGGCTTACCTAGCTGGAGCACCAGACTGGGACATCCAGACAGTTGAGGAGGTAGGAGTCTGGTGGGGGTCAAAATAAAAGCAGAAGCAGATAAGGCAAGAACAGTTGGGAAGGAGAGGAGAAGGTTGGAGACTAGCAGTGTCTTGGAATAATCCTGTCCAGATAACCCACATCCCAACAGCTGGCCTTACAGAAGTCTCTCATCCTCACTTGTAGGCTACCCCAGGCCTCGCAGTGTTCCTCCTCTGGGTTTGCTTTAGCAGTCTGCTTGATAAGAGGCACCGGTAGAAAGGCAGCATTGTTCTCTTGAGTGTGCTGTCCTATCTGGTGGCAGCAGCCTCTCTCTTTCTCCCCAGAAGCAGCAGATGATGACAACCTTCCCTCACCTCCTCAACGTCAATGAGGACCCCCAGCTCACTGGCGTGCTCAAGTACTTCATTCATACTGGTATTGACTTGCTGTGATCTATGTCCACAAGGCTACACTTCTTGCTCCATGAGCATATTTCTTATTCCACACTTCTGTGATTTCTGAGGAGGGGGTCATTCTTTTAAATTATTCATTGAGCTAAATGAATTCTGAATACATTGGGATACAGCATTCAATATTGTAGTAACAGCTGGCTTTCCTCACCCCAGTCACTATGCAAACCCAAGACAGGTGGACTCTGGGAAGGATGGACTGACTGTTCCCAGGGTCAGTCACTTGACAGAAGCAAAGGTGCTGTCACTGTGTCCTAAGGTCCAGGTTCAAAGGTTCTTCTTCCACAATTCACATGAAGCTGAAGGAATTTTAAAGAAAGTTAGGAATACCACCATATGGGCAGAAAATGCAATAATTATCCATAAAGGAAGGCAATGTCCAAGTACTACTATGAATAAAAATTCATAAGATCCTTCACATGATCCTGTTGGAAATAAATATCAAGCATATTAATTAGGTCAGGTCTTAATTTTTTTGAAAATATTTCATTTCCATTTTTTACAGGTTCATGTGATGCTGGTCAGGCTGCTTCAAATGCTATCACACTTCAAGGTCTGGGGTAAGTTTCTATGAATCTCAATTTTTGTCCAACATTAGAGCATTATGACTACTCAGGTTGATGAGCTTCTCACAGGTCATCTAGTTATCATCAGGCCAGACCACAAATCCTCTGGACAACTGAGAGTAAAACAGTTGCTAAACTTCCTCCATGACCTGCTCTAATGCACATCTAACAAAACTGCCAAGGGCGTTTCCCTCTAACTGAAATCTATGCTTCCTTGGCTCTTGGGAGAAGAGGGGAAGTCATTTGCTAGACTCTGTATGCCAATTCCTCACAAGCAAATTCAAGCAGATCTGGTGGATAAATGAAGAGAGTAAATGACAACCCCACCACAGGAAGCAGAATGTCTTTTATGATCTTATGGCTAAGGCAAAAGCATCCTTGATCTCTGACTAGGTCATTCACTGACTGGATTAATAGAGAGTGGAGAAGTTGGCGGTGGAGGGGGGTTGATCTCCCTCTCAAGGGACTCTTTCCTCAGAAGTTTCTTACAGGAGTTCCTGTGAAACCCTGTGAAGGGTTCATAAAACCAGAGCTGGATGTAGGGGGAAGGAAGAGTATAGTGAGAGACATTGCTCCAGGGTCCTCTTTTCTCCAAGTACAGTTGCCCCCTGACTGCCCTCAGGCTTCCAATCAGCAAAGTACAGTCTGCTCTTACTGTCCTGTCTTGTCCTTCATGTATCTCAGGCTGCCCAGAGTCAAAGTGCATAGGTCTGTGGGAGGGGCCATGCAAAGGGATAGTGCTGAATGAGGGGCTGTTTGGCACTGTCTCACCGTGGGCCACTTCACCCTGCACTGCCAGCTTCCAATGTGTGCTCTTTGCAGATCACTTCCTGTGAGGACTCTTCTATGTCCAGTGTTGAGCTGAGATGAAAACCTTTTTCACAAGACCCTAGGCCCCATGTAAACAAGGGATTTGGCAGGATATGTATCTTAACATCCAGAGCATTCCACAGCAGCCAAGGAGTACAAGAATATTGTTGTTTTTTTAATGTTTTATTGTGAATCATGTGATAGTTTACATGGAAGAGCATTAGCTTTACATTCATCCTATCATATATCATTTCATTGCCATGGTTACAATCCCCTCCATGCATCATCACCCAACCACAGGGTATACCCTGCAAGCCTGCCCCCTGGTCATCAGCACACAGCTCCTCTCCCTCTCTGGGTCTAAAGTCTCCAGCTGCTCCATCTTAACACGTCATCATCTCTGTCTCCATCTCTGGCATCACTGCTTCTCTGGGTAGTGTCCTGCTCTCTGCTTTTCTCCTTTGATGGTCCCAAGGACCACCGCTCCTAGACTAAAAAGTTAATCACTCCCCTCCTTGCTACAAAATGTCTACCTTTACATTTCCAACCCTCACAATCAGTCCTGATAACAATTATTCACTATTGTATCACAAGAGACCTATCCAAGAATATTCTTGAATAACTGAAGTGGGGCTAAAACTTGCCCAGTGAAGGAGGCTTCCTGCAGAGCCTCTGCATTGCATAAGACCATAGGTGGAATCCCGAACCCCATCCAGAACCTTCTGAGGTGAGAAATCTCCACTTGAAAGGACAAGCAGGCCAGCCTGGAGTGGCTAGAAGAGAAAAAGATACTTCTTGAAAGAAAGACTGACAGGAAAAATACAAAACAATAATGGCAGTTTGACTGACTACTATAAGAACAAGCAATTTGCACAGCCAGGAGACACCAAGGCAAGTGGTCAGGTTGCCTCAGGGCAAACCCCATTCCAAGACTAAGACTCAAGGAGAATACACAAGTAGACATGTGGTCTGACTGGTGACCACGTTGGTCACCGATAAGGGGAAGTGAAGGAAAAACAGCAATGAAGCTGTAAGCTAAGTCTTACCATGTTCAATAGACTCCTGTGAACCTAGGTGGAAACCTGGTTGGCCAACAGTATGGCAAGACCTGGGAACTCCTGGGCCCAGAGTCAGGAACACAGCCACAGAGGACTAGAGTGAAGAGTGAAGCATCCAGCTAATAAGAAGCAAGGGGATATGCACAAGAACACCCCACTTGACCTGGCTTCAATGGCTGGGTGATCAGAACTCAGCTAGAAAAAGAAAGAAGAGGAAAAAATGAGTAACCCACTACAATTTGATGAACTTTATCTATGCTTATGGATGTAGCAGCTCAAAAAAGGGAACAAATCTTTACAGCGAGGATCATTCCCACTTCCTCAGTACACATGGTAGATAGGGTTGAGCAACTTGGACATTGGCTACCCCAAATTGGGGGCTACATAAGCAAGAAGTGACTGGCTTACAATCTTTCAAGAGGGAGCCTAGATCCAGAGGGTGCCGGAGAAGGTAGAATCTCCACTGAATAGTATCCAATCTGTCTGGGTGAGATTGATGAAAGGAGATGGGGCTAGCTCTTATGTGGCACAATAGTGAATAATTACTATCAAGACTGACTGTGAGGGTTGGAAATGTCAAGGTAGATGTTTTGTAGCAAAAGGAGGTGAGTGGTTGACTTTGCAGTCCAGGAGTGGAGGTCCCTGGGACCATCAAGGGAGAAGAGTGGAGTACCGAATCCTACCCAGAGAAACAATGACGCCAGAGATGGAGGCAGAGAGGATGACATGGAGAGATGGAGCAGCTGGAGACTCTGGACCCAGAGAGGGAGAGGGGCTTTGTTCTGAAGACTGAGGGGCAGGCTTGTGGGGTATATCTTTTGGTTGTTTCATGATGCATGGAGGGGATTGTAACCATGGCAATGAAATGATATATGATAGGGTGACTGTAAAGTTAATGTTCTCCCATGTAAACTATCACATAATTCACAATAAAACATTAAAAAAAATTTTTTTATTAAGGAAATAAAAGCTTGTTGGCAGGTGCACAAAGTGTATTGTAAAGCAGAAGCAAGGAGATTGTTGAAAATTGATGTATTTGTCTTTTCTAAGAGTTTATTAAAATAAATTCTACAGCAAAAAAAATTTTTTTTTAATTCCAAAGCAATAAAGGAGTCCTAGTGTGGCACTGTGGGTTAATGTGCCAGACTGCAAAGTCGTTTGAACTGCAAGGTCGGCAGTTCAAGTTCACCAGTTGCTCCTTGGAAACTCTATACAGGGTCGGTATGGGTCGGAACCGACTCAACAACACTTAAAAACAACAACAACAAAGCTGTAAAGAAGCTGGTATTCAGGGAAAAACAAGAGATAGGTGATCTGACACCTCTGACTTCCAGTCCCAAATCTTATATAACATATGAATTTATGTAGATGTAGATCCAGAAACAGGCCTAACTTCTTTCTGATAAGAAAGTTTCCATATTAAGCTGTAGCCCCAAGAATATCTTGTCTGACTTCTTTGATTATTTTCTTTTCATTGTCCCCACCACCCAATCCCTCTACACTACATCTGAGGGCTCTAACAAGTGTCTCTGAGACTGCTGGCAGACTCAGATGGTGTTTGTTCCATAAATAAATTGCTGAGTATCTCCCAACTCCGCATGCTCCTTAATGGCAGGGTCTTTCTGTCCCATTGACTATAAGCTACAGCACACAGGAGGACCCCAGCAAATACGCCAAACGATCCTTCAGTACCTGTGTTGTTGTTAAGTGCTGTCAAGTAAATTTAAATCCTGTATAGGGTTTCTAAAGAGTGGCTGGTGAGTTTGAACCATCGACCTTGAAGTTCAAACAGACCTTGTGGTTGAGTACTTATCCTATAGTGCCACACCAGGACTCCAGCAGCTATAAGTCTTAATTAATTACAAAAATGAGAAAGAACAATTAAAACCATTCACTAAAATTCTCATTTCCTTAATAACTTAGACTAACTCTTCTGTCTTTTTAGAATTTCAGATAAACATGCTTCCTTCACAAATTTGGATGGTAATGTTACAGTAACTCCACACAGCAAATGCAAAGTTGTTATTAATGGAGTGCCGATCACAACGAAGACAAAGCTACAGCATTTGGTAAACTTTCCTGTGGGGCCACAAAGTGTAATAAAAGCCAAACTGAGCATCAGGACAGGAAGTCCCTGTGGTTGTGACACATGAGACATCTAAGGGTGCTCACTACACATGTGTACCTCTGCCCCAGCACTATGGTAACCACATGATTTCTTCCTTACATCATAGAGAGGCAGATGTAGGAGTCAGGAGATCTGCTGTCACCTGGACCTCACCTAGAAAACAAAGGGGTGCACCAGATCTTCTCGAATACTCCAGCAACTGTGACCTTATATGACATTTTAGATTTAAAAAAAAAAAAAAAAACTGTCATTGAGAGGAACTGTCAGCCCTAAAAATTGCAGACATTGGTCTCCCTTCATCTCCTCTTACTAGTCTATCCAAGTCTCCATCCCCTCAGGGTCCCTAACTAGCTTTCCTGCAGGCTCTCATCCTCTCCAATCTAATATCCACATGTAGCCAAACAGAGCCTTGTAGAAATGCAAATGGACTTAGTTCATTAGTTCACTTCCTTTCTAAAAGTCATTCAGTGACCTCCACTTTAGAACAAGATCCCACCAGGGCCTGCATAACCTACCACCTTCTCCAGTCTTCCCTGGATCTCTGGCCAACATGCTCACCTTTTCCACTGACTTTCTTCTTTCTTCAAACACTCAGTTTACAGTTGTCTTTTCTACATTACCAACACTTACTGCTGAAGACATTTCAATTTACATATTACATCTTTGAAGAAGATTTCTCTAATCCCCAATCTGAATCAGGCCCTTTGTACATTTGATTGAAGGAGCCCTGGTGACAGGATGGTTAAGGAGCTCTGGTAGCATAGTGGCTGCTAATCTCCCGGTCAGCAGTTTGAAACTACCAGCTGTTCCGTGGGAGAAAGATGAGGGCTTCTGCTCCTATAAAGATTTACAGCCTTAGAAACGCTGTACAGGGTTGCTATGAGTTGGAACTGACTCCACAGCACATAACAACAAGTGCTAGCTCAGCTACTAGCCAAAGACAGCAGTTCAAACATACCAGTTGCTCCGTGAGAGAAAGATGTGGCAATCTGTTCCTGTAAAGAGTTAAAACGTTCGAAACCCTATGGGGCAGTTCTGTTGTGTCCTGTAGCGTTGCTATGAGTTGGGATCAACTCAATGGCAATGGGTTTTTGGTTTTTAATATATGACTGAAACACCAGTACTTCTCCCTCACAGCAATTTAATTAACAGTTTGCACTTACATAGTTAACTCATAAAACCTTTAACGGAAATGCTCAGTGTGTGGAGTAAATGAAGAAATACATGACAGCAGATCTGCAAAAGCAAGGTAACACTCTTCCCTCCTCCTTCATGGACATTTCTTGGGTTGGGGCAGGAGGAAGGGTTCATGAGGGAATAATATTTCTCCTTCTTTTATTTATCTTTAATATACAGAAATTCATTCTCTTACAGTTTAGGAGGCTACAAGTCCAAATGCAGAGCACCATTTCTGGAGACGTGTCCTTGTTTCCATTCAGCCTTCCTAGGAGAGCTCCATATAGGTCTTGGCATCAATCTTTCCCAGAATCTAAGAGTTTCACTGTGAGGGACCCTAGAGCCAAAAGACACACTCTGCTACTGGCTCTTCTTTCTTGGTGGTAGAAGGTTCCTCCTTCTCTGCTCACTTGTCTCTCCTTTTATCTCTTGTAAGACAAAAGGTGTTGCAGGCCACACTCCTGGGAAACCCCTTTACAATAGATCAGAGTTGTGATAGGATCAAGGGTATTTCAGTCCACCTTTAACCCTCTAATTAGCTTAGAACATTGGATCACATCCTGGGGCATCATCACATTACTGCCATAGCACATCATTAAACAACTGCCAAACCCTGAGAATCATGACCTAGTCAAGTTAACACATAGTTTGGGGGGCCACAGTTTAGACTGAGATTGTCCACACTTTAGTTCCCAAAATTCATGTCCTTGCTACATTTAAAACACTTTCACCCCACTACATTATCCCAAAAGTCTTGAAGAAATTTGGCATCATCTTTGAGTCTAGAATACAAGTTATCTGCTTCCAAATGCAATGGTGGATCAGGCAAGATGTAAACATTTCCATTATAAATGGGAGCAATTGGAAGGAAAGAGGGAATAATGGGCACCAAGCAAGTTAAAAACCCAGCAAAAACAATTTACATTAGGTTTCTAGTCTTGAAAAGAAACTTCTGTTCTCTGAGACCATTTGGGCAACGGCTCTGCCTTCCAGACTATGAGTGTTGACTGGAATGGTAACTCTGCTCCTTGAGCAGCCCCTTTCTCTTAGTCAATCTGAATGGATTCCCTTGTCCCTTGCAGGCCCCATTCTTCTGCCCCCTCAGCTTTGGACAAAGGTCCCATCTTAATACTCTGTAACTGAGTTGGTGAAGAGATCCAACTCTTTGAAATTTAGGAAACCATGACTCCACCCTTAGAAGCTTCAGAGGTAGACGTACCTTTTGGGCGGGGGGCGGGGAGCAGCTCTGCTTCTCCTCTCTTCAGCTTCTTCAAGGTCTCTAACAGAGGACAGTCTGGCCTCTGCTCTGCTTGAGCAAGTGTTACAAAGCTCTTTGATGTTGCTGTTGTTGTTCTTTAGCTCTACTGATAATGCCATACTCCACCAATAAGCATTGACCTGAAGACACTCAGTTATCTAGTTCCATGGATCAAAGAGTCTAACTACTAACAAGTGCCCAGAGACATCTTACTCTACCAGGAAGCCTCATACATAAAGGCACTCAGCTCTCTTGCTCCATGGGTTGGCTCCCATGCTGTCTTGTGTAGGTTTTCTGGTTCAGCTGCAGTAGTTTCTCTGCCACTGCTTTTCACCATCTGTGCTGTCTCTGGTGCTATGGTTCTCATCGTTTCCTTCTAAACCCTCATCAAAATTGCCTTTGGCATCCATAATTTCACCAACAACAGCTCTACAAGGCAATGTAGGCTTTTATTGTTAGGTAGTTTAGTACTCTTCCAGCCTCTACTCATTGCACAATTCCAAAAACTCATCCATGTGGTAAGTATCTGTTACAATACCAATCCACTTTAGGAAAGAACATTTCTTAGATCCTCTTAACAAGGGTGGAGTCCTAGTGTGGGTGGCACTGTGGGATAAAGCACTGGCCCACACAGTTGGTTTGAACCATAAGGTCAGAGGTTCAAACTCATCAGCTGCTCCTTGGAAACCCTATCCAGGGTTGCTAGGAGTCAGAATGGACTCGACAGCACTTAACAACAACAATTAAACAAGGCTAGGCTGGGCTTGGGACTTTGGTTCCTTCCTGAAGCAAGGTTGACCTCACATCTTTCTGACCCTGGGGTCTAATGTGAGAGCAGCATCTTCCCCATGAGTGTGCCATCCCCTCACCCCAAACACACATCTCCACCCCTACCTGCCATGGGGTTGGTCCTGGGCTCCTAGTGACCCCATACACAACAGGATTGGACCCTGTGGTCCTGTTTTAATTGGGTGATTTGGGGAGTAGATTATCATGCCTTTGTTCCTAGTCTGCCTCAATCTGGAAGCTCTGCTGAAACAGCCTAAGCATCATAGCACCATGCAAGCCTCCAGTGACAGATGGGTGATAGCTATGCATGAGGTGCGCTGGTCAGGAACTGAACCCAGATCTCCCACATGGAAAGTAAGGATTCTGCTACTGCCTCCATTCTCCCACAGGACCGCATTATTTTGGGATCCAACAGTGCCTACCTCTACATTGGGTTTCCTTCTGAGCGAGGCAGTGAGGACTTGAGCAGATTTGATTATGACTTTTTCCAGCTGGAGAGAGCAGCTGCAGAGGGCATGAGTGTGGACAAGCTCGGTGAGTGGCCTGGTGTTTTGCCCTTGGCATTTTTGTGTGCTGATCTGAAAGCAACTGCTTTCACTATGTGCTGTTCTGCTTTCCTTAAGAAAATAATCATTTGGAGGGGTCAAAATATAATTTTTGGAAAGCTAAAATATTGTTCCCACACAAATACATAGTGAACACATTATGGTTTAACACATTATTGGTTTAACTGATTAACCCAGTTACCTCATGGTGGTGGTAATGTGCCGTGGAGTTGGTTTTGACTCACAGCGACCCTGTATAGGGTTTCCAAGGCTGTAAATATTTATGGCAGCAGAAAGCCTCATCTTTCTCCCATGGAATGGTTGGTAGTTTCGAACTGCTGACCTTGAGGTTAGCAGCCCAACCCATAGCCACCAAACTACCAGAGCTCCTTAGTTACCTCATAGATGAGGGTAAAGCTGATTCAGAGGGGAACAGAAGAGACAGACAGGTTTATGTAAAGCAAATGGAAGGAAGAAAGAATGCTGATATGAGTGCCAAGTCAGACAAAGCTAATTAATGGTCTTTGGGGCAATAATCTTTTAGTGGACAAAAATATCATTTGTAATTTGCCAGTCTTCTACAAATTAGTATCTAATGTCTCTGCTTGGACCTAATTAATAGCAAAGTAGAATATTTGGGTGGCACAAATAGTTAATACATTTGGCTGCTAACCAAAGGGTTGAAGTTTCATATTCACCCAGAGGTGACTTGGAGAAAGACCTGATGATCTACTTCTGAAAAATCAGCTATTGAAAACCCTATGGAGTGTAGTTCTACTCTGACATGCATGAGATTGCCATGGTCAGCATCAACTAGACAGCAACTGGGTTTCCCCCCAGTAGTAAATAATAAGGCCACAATGGTATGTTCCTCATAGGAATTAAAGATTGCCTACATGCTGGGTTATGACAGTTAAAGGATAGTCATCCTTTTGCCTAATGTCCATGCTTTATCATTTTTCTTGGCAGCTCTCTTTTTACACTTGAAACCTGTGGTCATCATAGGTAAAATTCCTACTGCATCTTGGCCAGGAAGTCAGTAGTTGTCAGCTTATGCTCAGTTATGCTCTGGTCTAGTTCCTTGGAGCCTGTTGCCATGCAGGAAGACATTTTATGGGTAATTCTTAATTTTGAAATAGCTTCTTGATCCTTCCAAGACACTAAATTCACTCAGATTTCTCAGTTTTAACATTTTACTATATTTGTTCTACTTTCTATATAAAACATATGTGTGTATAT